TTCTCCTTGAAGAGGTCCTTTACATTCCTTGTTAGTTGTATTCTTAGGTATTTTATTCTCTTTGTGGCAATTGTGAATGGAGGTTTGTTCTTGATTTGGCTCTCTTTAAGTCTGTTATTGGTGTATAGGAATGCATGTGATTTTTGCACATTGATTTTGTATCCTGAGACTTTGCTGAACTTGCTTATGAGTTTCAGGAGGTTTGGGGCTGAGACGATGGGATCTGCTAGATATACAATCATGTCGCCTGCAAATAGAGACAATTTGACTTCCTCCTTTCCTATTTGAATGCCCTTTATTTCTTTTTCTTGCCTGATTGCTCTGGCTAGAACTTCTAATACTATATTGAATAGCAGTGGTTAGAGAGGGCATCCTTGTCTGGTGCCACATTTCAAGGGGAATGCTTCCAGTTTTTGCCCATTCAGTATGATATTGGCTGTTGGTTTGTCATAAATAGCTTTTATTATTTTGAGATATGTTTCATCAATACCTAGCTTATTGAGGGTTTTTTTAGCATAAAGGGCTGTTGAATTTTGTCAAAGGCCTTCTCTGCATCAATTGAGATAATCATGTGGTTTTTGTCTTTGGTTCTGTTTATGTGGTGAATTATGTTTATAGACTTGCGTATGTTGAACCAGCCTTGCATCCCCGGGATGAAGCCTACTTGATCATGGTGGATAAGCTTTTTGATGTGCTGTTGCAATCGCTTGTCAGTATTTTATTGAAGATTTTTGCATCCATGTTCATCATGGATATTGGCCTGAAGTTTTCTTTTCTTGTTGAGTCTCTGCCGGGTTTTGGAATCAGGATGATGTTGGTCTCATAAAATGATTTGGGAAGAATTCCCTCTTTTTGTATTGTTTGGAATAGTTTCAGAAGGAATGGTACCAGCTCCTCTTTGTATGTCTGGTAGAATTCGGCTGTGAACCCATCTGGACCTGGGCTTTTTTTGGGTGGTAAGCTCTTAATTGCTGCCTCAACTTTTTAATGATCACATATTATGTTGTTGTATGGATATATCATAATTTAATCATTCCCAAGTTAATGAATGTTTAAGATGGTTCCAATTCCCCAATGTTACAGATGATCTGACTTGTACATCCTTATATGTAAATATTTGTGCAGTTGTCTGAATAGTTTTGAAGAAAATATTTCTAGAATAGAAATGTTAGCTCATAGGACATTTATTTTTCTTTTACATTTTTATAAGTACTGCCAAATACTTTGACTTCATAAAAATTTTATCAGTTTTTATTCCTATTAATTACATATGGGAATGTGCCTTAGTCCATTTTGTGTGCTATAACAGACTACCACAGGCTGGGTAGTTTATAACGAACAAAAATTTATTGGCTCACAGTTCTGGAGGCTGGCAAGTACAAAATTCAGGGGCTGCTATCTGGTAAAAGCCTTGTGGTCTCATCTCATGGCAGAAGGGCAAAGAGAGAGTGAGAGAGTGCAAGAGATTGAACCTATAGCCATTTTATAATCAGCGTTAATCCATTCATGAGAATGGAGCTCTTATGACCTAAACATTAGTCCTCAATAGTCCCTCCATTAGTTCTCATCTCCCACACCTGTTGCCTTGGGGATTAATTTCCAACAGGTGAAATTTAGGGGATGAAGGACATTCCACTGTGGCTTGAATATGTCTCCCAAAGTTCACATGTTTAGGTCATGGGAGATCCAGCCACACTGGATATTTTCAATCTTTTAAATTTTTGTTAATTCAATTGGTGGAAAATAATACCTTATGAGTTAGGTTAGAGTTGCTGTAATATCATATATAGTGATTTTACTTTTAGCCTTTTGAGGAGCTTATATATTGTTTTTCCATTGTGTTTTTACCATTTTAGATTCTCACCAGCAATGTGCAAGTGTTCCATCTTGGTTAACTTTTATTGTGTGTATTAATCATTGGTATTTTTTCTTTTCTGAATTGCCAACTTGTATACTTTGTGCTTTTGAATACCAAATTATTTTTCCCTTCTGTTTTTCCTTCTCTTCTTCTTTACTAATTTATTTTAAATAAACTATCTGTATTTTATGAGCATTAGGGTTTTTTGTTGCAAGTTCTTTTGCTTTGTCATTGGTCTTATAACTTTGTTCAATGACTTTTCACTGTATAGATCTTTTCAATGTACTCTAGTATGCTGTAGAGATTGTCTATTCTGCACCTGACGCTGATTGTTTTGCTTAGGAAGGTGTTCCCCAACCCAACATTAGAAAAACATTTCCCAGCATTGAATAATGATATATTTATAGTTCAGTTTGATTTAATAATGTGAGATAATGAACACATTATGGATTTTGCTTCTGTAGAGATAATGAATGTTCTCAGAACATTCCTTGTAGAGTGTATCCTTCTCTCATTGTTTTGAAATGCCAATTTTATCATATACTAAATTTTACATATAATTTAGACTATTTCCGAATGCTCTTTTCTGTTTCATTTATCTATTTGTCCCTGGCCAGCATCACTTTTTTAAATGACTCTTCCTAGCAAAAGCAGGAAATTTCTGGGAAAAAGGAACTTGGTAGTGATCACTATAAAAGGTGTATTCTCAGATACCATCCTTAACCACCTTATTTCTGTCTCAATATTTTGTAAGTCTAAAGGTAGATATCTGCAGTCGTTTTAAAGAGAGAAACAGGCCTTAATTTTAATTCTAGGGCAAAACCCATGGAAATCTGTGGGCACTACAAAAGATCATTCATGAATCAGAGATAATGTAAAAATTGGTTTTACTGATTAAATAAACAACATAAGAAAACACTTTTTCACCCATATACCTTTTGAACTATTTTTTGATATTCGCATTGAATCATGTTCATTCCACCGATACACTGAATAATTTTCTTAAGCAGAGTGCTAAAATTTCAAAATTATGTAGAAAGTAGAATGATTTCACACACTGCAGTACTCCAAGGTGAGTCCCTATTCTTCAATCATGGAGCATTCAAAGGAACCTAATTTTGTTTTTTTTGAGCAAATAAAGTATTTAATTAGGGTATATAACAGGAATTCAGCAGGTAGGCACCCCCAGAGTTGATTCATCAGCTTAGTGATCTCATTGTAGATCTAGGCTCTTGGGAACCTAATTTTTTAAAAAATAATTTCAACCTTTACTTTAGATTCAGGGAGTATATGTGCAGGTTGGTTACATGGGTATATTGTGTGATGCTGATGTTTGAGGTACAATTGATCCTGTCACTAAAATAGTGAGCATAGCATCCAACAGGTAATTTCAACACTTGCCCCTTCTCTCCCTCCTCTAGTAGTTGCCAGCGTCTACTGTTCCCATCTTTATGTCCATATGTACCCAATATTTAGCTCCCACTTATAAGTAAAATCATATGTTATTTGGTTTTCTGTTCCTATGTTAATTCACTTAGGATAATGTCCTCCCTCCAACTGCATTTATGTTACTGCAAAGAACATGGTTTCATTCTTTATTATGGCTACATAGTATTTCATGGTGTATATGTACCACATTTTCTTTATTGAATCTAATGTTGATGGGCTCCTAGGTTGATTTCATATTTTTGCTATCGTGAAGAGTGCTGTGATGAATATCTAAGTGCATATGTCTTTTTGGTGGAATAATTTATTTCCTTTTGGACACATATCCAGTGATGAGATTGCCAGGTTAAATGATAGCTCTGTTTTAAGTTCTTTGAGAAATCTCCAAGATGCTTTCCACAGTATCTGAACTAACTTACATTCCTACCAACAGTGTATAAAAATTAGCTTTTCTCCATGGCCTTGCCAGCATCTGTTTTTTGACTTTTTAATGATAAGCATTTGGCTGGTGTGAATGCAATCCCAAATCCCATTGTGGTTTTAATTTGCATTTCTCTGATGATTAGTGATGTGAAACATTTTTTCATATATTTATTAGATGCATGTATGTCTTCATTTGAAAAGTGTCTGTTCATATCTTTTGCCCATTTTTAAAAAATGGGGTTACCTGATTTTTTTGCTTGTTACATTGTTTAAGTTCCTGGATATTAGACCTTTGTCAGATGCACTGTTTGTGGATATTTTCTTCCATTCTGTAGGTTGTCTATTTACTCTGTTAATAGTTTCTTTTGTTCCTTTGTCAGATGCACTGTTTGTGGATACATTTTTCCATTCTGTAGGTTGTCTATTTACTTTGTTAATAGTTTCTTCTGTTGTACAGAAGCTCTTTACTTTAAGTAAATCTCACTTATCAATTATTGGTTTTGTTGCAGTTGCTTTTGAGGACCTGGTCATAAGTTCTTTCCCATAGCCAATGGCCAGAATGGTGTTTCCTAAGTTTTCTTTTAGGATTCTTATAGTTTGAGGTTTTACTTTAAATCTTTAATCCAACTTGATTACTTTTTATATATGGTAAAAAATAGGTTATATATGGGTCTGGTTTCATTCTTTTGCATATGACCAGCCAGTTGTCTCAGCATTGAGTAGGACGTCCCTTCCCCACTGCTTATTATTGTTGACTTTGTCAAAGATCAGTTGGCTGCAGGTGATCTTCAGATCTCCTGAAATTATACATGTAACCATCTCAGCTGTGTTCTTTCATTTGCAAGACACATTAGGTAAGGTTTGTAAGATTGAAGGGCTTAAACTTTTAAAGTTGACCTGGATAAGTTTGATTATGTGCTATCAGCTAAAAGTATCATAAAATATACTTTTGCACAGGTAAAGCAAACTGTTTCAAACAGTACTTATCAATAGGATAGTCTTAATTCTTATACTCCTAGAATTTTAGTAAATATTATCCTACATTAATTCAGCATGAAAGATTTTCTTAAGCTTGTAATTATTTTCTCATTAGAAAATATTTTCTCATTTTGGTTTTATGGTATCACTATTTCTTGTGGAATAGTTGATAAGAGGAAAAATAATTTATTTCATGGATAATTGCTGATATTTCTGAGAACTGGGATATATTTTATTTTCATGGATTTAGATATTTTGGACTAAATTTATAATAATATACTGCAATACAAAATCTAATGAAAACAGTCATAGTCAGTTTTATCATAACTCTATATTATTTGTAACATGCTCCTATTACAAGTATCGAAGTCTCAGGTGACATGAGGGATTTCTTCTTGCTTTGATGTTAAGTGAAAAGCTGCTTTAAGTTTGATTTTTTTGATCACCTGGAAATCTGAAATAAAACAAATTATAAATTTAACTTTTATGCTGGGCTAGAAAGCAAAGAACATTTATTTTGAAAAATATTTTGCTTTCTGTAATTTTCAGATGTGGCTTAAAAAATTAAAAATACTTAATCTTATATAATATTTGAAAATAAATATGTGATTCTTTTTAAAGCAGTGTTTCAGTATTAAGCTTATCAAGTGCTGGATTAAACTACTCTTCTTGTGTTTGGAGAATGAGATTATACTTAGTATACTGTGCAAAGTGGGTACTTAACAGAAACTTTTTACTTATCATACCTGTTGAGTTCTTCCAAATGTTCTGAGTTTTGAGATACACCTTCCACTGTGGATCCTCTAAACTCTTCTAAAAAAAAAAAAGATATATAAAGTTAATGGTTTATTATGAACACAGCTTATAGTTATTTTGATATTGAACCTGGGTATCCCTTTTCAGGGATATCTGTCCTTATCATCTATAAGATAAGGGTATATGTATCATCAGGGCAGATTGTTTTGTTCGAAGATGGCAGCAACAATCTCTCCCATTCCACATGTCCCTGTACAGCACAATCTTGTCAATTCTTCATGAAGAAGCAGAATCTAGTTTTCCTCTTGAAATTGAGTTACCCTTAAGACTCTTTTGTGATCAACTGAATGTGGAGGAAGTGACAAAAATGAGTTCTGAGGCTAGGTTCAAAAAGGCTATGCAGCCTATACTTTATCTTAGGATACATTTTTGGAGGAAGCAAGTCACCACATAAGTCCTCATACCCTGAGACTGCCATGCTGGAATGGCCATGTGTATATGTTCTAGCAGATGGTCCCAGCCGAGTCCAGCCTTGCAGCCATCTTGGCTAAGCCTCCAGTCTGTGAGTGAAGCTGTCTTTGACCCTTCAAACCAGCCCATCTGTCAGCTGAATACCACTTAGTGACTTCAATTAATGTCCAGCCGAGCACTGCCTGAATTCCTAATCCACAGAATTCTGGTGATATAATAAAATGGCTACTGAAAAGGCCACCTTTTGTTGGGTAAGATGACTTTTAAAAATAATACACAAAAGGAAAATTAATTTAGGGAGCAATATAAAGTACCCAAATAATGAAGTCAAATATGGAAGTTTATATATCTATCTACATGTATGTGTGTGTGTGTGTGTGTATATATCTATATATATACATATATATTTTATATATGTATGTTTACATATATATAGACATATATATAACTTGTATATATAAACATACATATATAAAAACTTCCCATATTTGACTTCATTATCATAATATCATAATAATGAAGTCAAATATGGGAAGTTTATATATCTGTAGATATATACGTATAAGTGACTTAATTTATCATATATATATATGATATATACATAGAGAGAGAGAGAGTGCACCATGTTAATTTGTTACTTAATTTTAACTTTCATATCTGCCCTTTTACTTTTGATTTGAATTAACTGGGATTAATCTAATAAGATGCTGTTTATTCCTGTCTATGATAGGCCCCAGTTTTCAGGTCCCATCATCCCCATTTTCTGTATTCCATTTTTTAGAACCTTTCTTATTCTGTCCCCATCTCCCACCCACTGCAATTCCTGAAAGAGTTCCATTTTGTTTTTTGGAATATTTGGTCCATTATTTCAGCAAAATACCCTATTTTCTGAAATTCCCTTTACTTTCTTGCTTTAACAGAAATCTGGCTCTTCACTCAAGAGACTATTGGTCCAGAAACCTGATGTTTTTTTGTTTTTCTCGGTCTTCTCACTACTGGACCTGGAGATGGGTTGATGTCCTTCTTTCTCCCTGTTCTTGCAGGACATTTGCCCTTCCTCTTTCCCTTTCTAACACTCATGTCATTAGATTATACAGTTACCCATTTGCCACTATTGTGATCTATCTACAAGTGGAATCATTCCCAATTGATGTTATCATTCCCTCAATGTCACTGTACTACTACTTTCTTAATTTAGTAATTTCAGTGTAGAGGCAGAAAATTATTCCACCCTAAGTCTCAATTCTTTGACCTCTTGTTCTTTTACATCTTGTCCTTTACAATACCACAGCCATTGATTTCCCTGGTCATACTTAGACCTTGTCATTACCAGTAACTATGAACCCCATCTAGCTCATTTTCCTGCATTTAATTACTTGACTGCTTCCTTTTGTGTTTGCAGATCACTCCCTGACCCCAGCAATTCTTCTACTTCATTGGAACCTCCAATCCTACCACCTTTTCATTGTGTCTCCTCATTTTTCTGTTTCTTCTTCCTTCCTCATATAATTTAAATTCCATGGTTATTCACTTCCTTGCATAACCTCTCAATTTCTCCTCTTCACTTGGCAAAAGTATAACCTCAGTTAAACCCCATTCTCTGCCTATTACTCTTCGGCACTGATAGTTCAATATGGCTGGAGAAAATACACGATTGGCCTGAGATGCCTCATCTTAAATTCATGGCCACAAACATTAAGTAGACCCTAGGCCATTCTATGAAACATTCCTGGTCCATTCATTCTTTCAATCCCCTGGATTACTAACTTCTGTTTTTCTCAAACCTCCCACCCTCCACTTTTCTCAGCTGATGATTTATTTTTTGGCTTCACAGAGGAAATAAAAGACAGTAGGAAAAATTTTCCACAAGCTCTGTGGCAAGAGTTAATCACCTACTGCTTCTGTTCTACAGCTAGTGCTCGACTTACGACCACGATTGGTTCCGACAGACCGGTAGTAACACGATTTGATCGTAAGTTGAGTAGGCTATATGCACGCGGAGATGGTAGTGCTACTGGAAGCTGGTCCACACTGTCGTACGCCCAGCTGGGCAACGTTTGCGCTGCTGGATGCGGAGCAATCGTGGCTAGCGATTGTGGTCGTAAAGTCGAATGGTTGTAAGTTGCATAGGTCGTAAGTCGATCAATACCTGTATATACTCTATTTTCCCTTCTGTTAGTATCAATGAACAGTCTAAGGCCTGTCTCTCTACTTCTTTACTAGATCTCATGTCCTCTTGTCTACACAAGACATGGCATCAGTCCTTCCTTCTGCTTCCCCCTCATCAGTGCTCTTCCTCTCTATTAGATCGTCCCTATCAGTAGAGAACTATTTAGCTAAAGCCAAGTGACTTAAGTTCTCACCAGTGAACATAAGCAAAGTGATACACAGTCATATGTCACTTAATGACAGGGATACATTCTGAGAAATGAGCCATTAGGTGATGTTTTATGAACATCATAGAGTGTACTTACACAAATCTAGATGGCATAGCCTACTACATACCTAGGCTATATGGTATAGTGTATTGCTTCTGGGCTACAAATCTGTTTGGCACATTACTATACTAAATATTATAGGACCTGTAACACTATAATGAGTATTTGTACAGATAAACATAGTAAAGGTAATACATTGCCCCACAGTGTTATGATGGCTACAATGTCACTAAGGCATAGGAATCTTTCAGCTCCATTATAATCTTTTAGGACCACCACAGTGTATGGCATATATTGTTGACAGAAATGTCCTTATGCAGTGCATGACTGGATATTTCTTCTGGGTCTGAGTGTTAGACATTAGATATTCACTCACCACAGGATTGTTGACTCTTGGTTTCATCACTGCAAAAACACTCATTTTGATTATAACCTAGGTTTTGCGCTGTGGGTCTGACTTAAGGTGTTACTTGAGATGTTTGATCTATAGGACTTCAAGGGAGCTGGAAGACTGGGACCAATAACACTTTAGTAAGGGAGACCAGGAGCAGCAGCACATTGCAGTGTGATATTTGCTCATACGATCTACATTTCAGCAGAAATTGGCACTTCTTTGTTGCTAACAGTAAAGACTCTGAAATGGTAGATTCAAGTGGGCAACAAAAAGATCTCATTTATACCACCACTTAGCCTATATGTTACAAAAGCAATAGAATAAGCTAGTAAATGCTAAATTGCATCCTTTTTTTGGAAACATTGGAATATAATATTTATATGATACAGTATTATATATAAATAAGATTTAAAAATGTTATCTGCTGAGAAGTATGAATTGAAATGGAGATGACATTACCTGGTAGTTTGGTGACTGGAAAGGTAATGAATTTTTATAATTTTGGCATGCTAAACATTTGTAGTGGCCTTACTCTAAAAAAGGGTAAATAACTCATTCATAAAGGTTGTGTCAGAGTTTATAGGCTAGACCCCTGGTAATGGATTCAACCTTTCTACAACAAATCAAAAGTATTGTTGCATGCTCACATGAATATACAGTAGTCATTACCTTAAATTTAAAACTCACTATAAGCAGCAAACACAGAAAGTATGATATGAAGGCTGTATTGTATCAGTGTGGTCTGCAGAGAATTTCTTCATATGGTTTTCGCCTTGTTGAAATATATGTTGCAGTTCAAAGCTAAAGGGATTACTTTTGAATAGTCATCACAGAGGTTGATTACATTCGTATATCATATTTAGCTGGACCCTGCAGGCTATTATTCCATTAGCTATGCTGGTCCTGCCATTGTCAAAAAGTTGATCACCTAATGTTAAAAGACTGTGCTTTCTGTGGACCTTATCAAAATGACTCAAAAGCTTTTGCTAAAAAATAAAACTCAGATTATGTTTTATGAAAATGATTAAGAATAAATACTGCGTATAAACTATGCTTCTATCTTATGGGTGATCTTACTATTATGCTGTTATTAACAATGAGATATTTTGTTTTTGTATTTCAGCAGATTTTACTGATAGTCATAGATTCAATTTTAGTAGAAACAGTACTTCTCTCTCACTGATAGTAGAGAGTCTCAGAAACTGATTTCTGAAAAAGGAACAGAAGTCTCCCTTCCCTACCATGTAAACCATATATAATTACCCTGGAAGTAAGCCAGTATATCAATGTTAATATAATGGCACATCTACAATGGCCTATCTACAATATGATTTTACAAGGCTACTGTACTAAAGAGAACAAAATTTTGTTTTGGGGAAATGTGTATACGAACTGAAAATTTGTCAATCACACTGGAAAATCAGAAAATCCCTTCCAATAAATAAATAAATAAATTAAATATTTAACTGTTCATTCTTCAGATGATGGTTGCATAGGTTCACTCATTTAATCACAATGAGAATATCTGATTCAGGTCTATGAATCTGTTTATTATAAACCCAGAATCCCATTACCAATAAAAGGCATACTTAGATAAGCTTGGCTTTTAAGCTATTTTATTATGAATTAGCCACAAATAAGTAATGAAATGAGAGTTCATCTTTGAAAAAGATATTGACAATTATGACTTTATTATTTAAAATAACATATAACTTTTGTCGTTAGAATCATATTACAAAAGCTGTCCTTTGGGA